CCGGGAGTGGCCACTGCACTCCAGTCTGGGTGACAGAGAGAGACTCCAACTCAAAAAAAATTTTCAGGGAGAAATGAAAAAATATAGGTTCACCAAGTTATTCTTTTCAAGATTAGAAATTCAGGATATGTGAGGTATAGGGGGAAAGCTACAGAACTTTTAAGTTTACATGATATAAGGACCTACTTTGTGTTCTTATTTATAAAGGAAGAAAATAATAGCTACAATCATCCTTTCTCCTTTAGCAGTCTCAGCTGGGGAGAGAAGTTCATCACCTTTTGCTCATGCCCTGTTTCTGTGAAAGGCATCACTCTTCTAGTCAGCCAAGTTTGAATCCTCAAAATAGCGTTGATTTTTTACCCTCTCCCTTTCTCCACATTCAAGTCTCCTGTCAAAATCTTGCTCTATAGCCACCTTTTATACAGTCTTCCTCACTTTTTAATTCCTTAATTCTGTTTTTAATTCAACATTACAGGGTTTCTTCTTAGACAAGTGCAAAAAGTCTGCCAACCAATATCTTACCTCATAATTGGTCTTCCCAGGGCTCTTATTTTCCCTCCCCGCCCCCCTTTTCTCCAGAGACACGGTCATACTCTGTTGTCCAGGCTGCAGCCTTGAACTCCTGGGCTCAAGGGATCCACCCGCCTCAGCTTCCCAAGTAGCTGGGACTACAGGTGACACCACCACACCCAGTTAATTTTTAAAATATTGTTTGAGGAGACAGGGCTCTCACTATATTGCTTAGGCTGGCCTCAAACTCTTGGGCTCAAGTGATCCTCCCACCTCGGCCTCCCAAAGTACTAGGATTACAGGCATAAGTCACCACACCCAGTTTCTCATTTTCCTAGAAACTCTCCCAATGTCTCTCCTTTGTTCAGAAATACACAATGTCTCTCCATTGTCTGCTGGATTTAATATAGGTGCTGCAGTCTGGCATTTGAGATTGTCTACAATACCCCATTCACTGTGGGTTATCCCCATAAATATCTGCATAAAAGGATTCTAAGCAGCCAAATTCACAGACTCAGCACTTGAATTGTGCTTACCCAACTGCACTGCCCTCCATTCTCCTGACTGCCTTTGTTACCAGTCTGTTGGTTTACAGGGCTCCATAACCCTCTCCTTTGCATCACAATTCTTGTTTCCCAGCCAGTGCCTTTGGGTCATCCCCCCACCCCGTCTGTGATTCTTTTTTTTTGTTGTTGTCATTTCTTTTTATTTATTTATTTTTATTATAAAGATGTGGGGTACAATTCAGGGTTAGGTATAGAAACATTGATCATGCAGGTACCCTTGTTGATGAGATATGCCCCCACTTCCCCTGACAGTTTCCCACTAATGCCAATCGCTTTCTTATAGGTGGCTTTCTCAGTAGTATCCCCAGGACCTCCCTTTGGTACCTGAGTTCTCAGAAAGCTCCCAACCAGGCTACTTCTGCTTTGCAAGTACCTTCTGCTGCAAGGCTCCTTTCCATGTACTGATGGTGATTCCTGGGGCCTCAGGACATGCTTGTTCCATTCACCAGAAACACCTTCTCTCTTACACTACTTATTCAGACTCAACTCATCTCCTAAGGTCTATCTTTGATCTGCAACCTCCAAGAAGTTTTGCCCTAGATGAAATGTGCTGTCCTCTCTTTGAACCCCCATGGGATCTTATTTGCACGCCTCCTATCACCATTCTATTATGAACTAATCACAGTTATTTCTGTGCTTCCTTTAGCTGTGCTAACATGCATGGACTATTTGACCCCAAGGGCTAGGGCTTACAATCCTTGTCTCCTCCAACAGTCCACCTCGCATTGGCCCACACATAGCAGGCACTGAAAGAGGGATGGTTGGCCCAAATATTTCCTCTTTATTTAGAGAATTCTGAATGCAGTGTGATCCATGTTCTGGACCACATGGTGTCCTTGCTATATACCCAAGAATTAGGATATACATTTTTTTAAAAAAGGCAAACATAGCACATTTTCTCTCTTACCTACAAAAAAGGGACGAGAAGAAAGATAAATAGATTCAGGGCAGTGTTCTGTGCAGAGGTGGGCAGGATAGAATGCTGGCTGAACCTCTAGCTCTGGAGTCATACATGAGCCAGTTGATGCAATGATGGAGGGAAAGCATTCTAGGATGTGTCTAGAATCCTGACTACTGCTCGCTAGTTCTGAGACCTAAGGCAAGTTAGCTAAACTCCCTACACTTCAGCTTCCCAACAGTAAAGCAAGCTGCTGTCAGGATTAAAACATGGAAAGCATCTACCTCTAATGCCTGACACACCGTAGAGCTTAACAAACATTTGTTGGCTGGGCTCGGTGGCTCAGCCTGTAACCCCAGCACTTTGGGAGGCCGAACTGAGTGGACTGCCTGAGCCCACGGGTTTGAGACCAGCCCAGGTAGCTTGGTAAGATCTTGTCTCTACAATAAATCAAAAATTAACCGGACGTGGAAGCGCGCACCTGTAGTTCCAGCTATTTGGAAGGCTGAGGTGGAAGGATTGCCAGAGCCCAGCAGGTTGATACTGGAGTGGCCGTGAGCATGCCACTGCATTCCAGCCTGGACAATGGAGTGAGACTCCAACTAAAAAAAAATTTTTTTTTGTTATACTTACTGTTATGGTTACTGTTAGCAGCATTGAGCTATGAAAAATGAACTCTTTCTGAATAGAAAGAGTGGGAAAGCCAGGTTCAGTGGCTCAGCCTGTAATCCCACGCCTTGGGAGGCTGAGGTGAGCAGATTGCCTGAGCCCGCGGGTTCGAGACCTGCCTGGGCAACTTGGTGAGACCTCATCTCTACAATAAATTAAAAAAATTAGC